AACAGCTCCAAATACTGTATCAGTAATTTCTTCTTAACGTTTAGTCAGAAATCTCACTTCTTTAATTTAAATTAAGGGTGGGCATTCAGATTCAGAAATTCACAGAATAATGCCATATTCAGATAGTTCAAAAATATCCAAATCCTAATTTGATCGTTCCAAATATCTATAATAATAATTCCTAATATTTGAAGTCCCGTTTATTTCTATAGATTAGAAAGCAAAAGGCTAGATTTCCGCTTGCTAGAGGAAGAAGTGAAAGTGAAACCTGTCTCTGAGGCATCCTGAAATTATTTCTTGAGAAATGAAATTAAAGACACTCTGGCACCAATCAGTGCCTCCTGATTGGGGTTGCCATGGGTATCCCAAAGGATGTGGGTTGGGGTGACAGCAAAATCTATCAATGAAGGGTGCCAACTCCAAAACAGATGTGGCATTTGCCTCTCCAGAAGCTTGGTGTCAGTGTTTGGATATTGAAATTCCAAGAGTACTCTGTTGATGAAAACAAACCTCGGGCCCAAGATAACAGGCTAAACGGAGTCCCTTGTCAGGCAGTTTCAAATCACATTTTGCCCAGGTCTGAAGTAAGGTAAAGGCCACCAGACTCACTACTGTATGACAATGTGCTGTTCTTACTCTTCTGCTTATAAAGTAAGAGCAGTCTATCACTATAGACAAAGCAGCTGAATATGGTTAAGAAGCACTACCTAAGCTTGTTCCAGCTGCATTTCATCACTCAACCATTTCATATTGACTTTTACAGGCATGACTTTGCATTTGTCATCCATTTTACATTCCCTCTAGAATATTAAATTAAACCCCTTGTTCACATGTCAGGAACAAATCCTGACATGATGTCTATCTGCACCAATGAAATCTAAAAGCAGGGGCAGACAGCAGAAGGTATTTTTTCACATTGGTTCTTTCCAGTTGACAGGTGGGCATAGCTGCTTATAAATCCCCTGACCATTTGCTGTTAGGATATGCTCTGGTGTAAGCCTGCACTGCAGCAGTTTTCTCTGTGTCTTTTTCTGAACTTTAAACTTACACTTACATTCTCTCCCTCTCATTGTATATTGTTTACTTAATGTAGTTAGGAATAAGATTTAGGATTAATATTTTATCTTATTTACAAATTTTTTAGCCATGCCATTACCAGTGGTCTCTGAGCGGCGTACAACAATATTAAAACTTTAAAAACATTAAAACCATTAAAAGTAGGTATAGTAATACCCTATATTAAAAACAGTCATTAAAACATTAATATTAATAAATCCTGCTGCTAAAGAATACTATTTAATTAAAATGCCGGCTAAACAGAAAGGTCTTTGCCTGGCACCGAAAAGCCAAAAGTGTTGGAGCCAGGCGGATCTCTTTAGGGAGGCGTTCCAAAGTTGGGGGACAACAGCTGAGAAGGCCCTATTTTGGCATGCCATCCCCTTCACCTCTTTCAGGGATGGCACCTTCAGAAGGGCCTCCTGGCCTGATCCTAGAGGACGGGCAGGCTCGTATGGAAGAATACGGTCCTTTAGGATTTATAGGGGATTCATAGATTAATACACTATAAATCAACAGGGAAATATTATATTGGGTTTGGGCTTCTTTGGGATACATCCAGCAGGGGAACAAGATTTTGTTCTACATAGACAGATATATTAAGTTAAAAGTGTGTGTGTGTGTGTGTGCATGCATGTGTGCGTGCGTGCGTGAGATTTTCATTGGGCACATGACTTACCCATGACTGCAGAGAAATGGAAACACACCAGGCTGACAATGGCAAATCATTCCGTCAATAGCTTAAAATCCTGTAAAGGTCACCCTAACCCAGAATCAGTTGTTTAATTAATTAATTTTATTACGTTTGAACTCCCCCTTTCCACTAAAAAGATACCACTGAAGGCAGGTTAAAAAGTTACAAAGTTATTGAAAATAATAGAAACAGAGCAACATTTAGCTAAAACCTTAATAAAAACAATACAAACCTGCTGTACCCTAAAATGATAAAAATTTGCAAAGTATGTTAAAAAAGATTTCAACATTATGAAGGGTAAAGATTAGAAACAGCACAAACATCAAATGCTTGTATAAAAAATAGTTTTGTAGACAGAACATAACATCACCAAGAAGTTCTAGTCTTTGTCTAAGTCTTTAGGTGCACACTGGAATTATGGATATCACCCAGTCAGATGTGTTCCTCTCTAATTTCCCTCTTTTCTATAATGGTTAATTTTTGAGATCAGATTTTTTTAAAAAAAACTATTTTCATTTGTTTGTTCTGTTTTCTTGTCCAGCACTTTATTCATGAAATAGATATGCAGGATCCCATAAGTATTGTAGCTGTTCATCCTGCTCCCCCACAACAATCAAGTTGCTTTTGTAGGATAATGTCATCCTCTCATTCAACAGTCTTCTCAATGTTGAAAATTGTTGACAGTTTTATCTGATGGGTCATCCTGAAGGAGCTGACTGGTACTTTCTACCCTTCCCTACCAAAGGACATTAAAAAAAACAAGGTGGTGAAAGCCTTCATGGACTGGTGCTGAGGTAAATACTTTATCATGGTATGGAAAGACAACAATCCACAGTGTGCTTTTTATTCAGTACAGAAAAGTTGAGTATTTTTCACTCATTTCGCAGTTACCATGAGAAAGATTAATTTAACTCTTAATTTCCTAAAGTAAACAGTTTTTAAAGATATAAGCCCACACTAGCACGCAGTTACCATGAGAAAGATTAATTTAACATAACTCTTAATTTCCTAAAGTAAACCGTTTTTAAAGATATAAGCCCACACTAGCGAGGAATACTCAATAAGGTGTTTCCTTACATTAGCCATCCTTCACCTGTTGCCCTCCACCTGTTTTGGATTCTTGACCCCCCCAGAACTCCTCACTGCTAGTTGAAACTGATAGAAATTAAAGTCTAAAAAAGCAGGAATGGATCAGGTTGGAAAAGGCTGCCCTATTTTTCCTTATTGTCTGTGTGACTGTACAGTAATCCATTCGTTCCTGGAATCAGTCAATTTCCGACATGGACTGAAGGGACTAGACTGATCACCTCATTAGAATGCACGCTGACATGAATGCTGCTGGAAAAATCATGTAGAAATTATGCAGTGATTCCTGCTATGGTGGATCTATGCCAGCCTAATTCATATGGGAATGCAAACTATTATTGTAGAAAAGTGGTTTCCAACCTTAGGTCCCCATATGTTCTTGGACTAAAACTCCCAGAAGCCTTCACCACTAGCTGGGCTAGCCAGGATTTCTGGGCGTTGTAGTCCAAGAGCATCTGGGGGACCCAAGGTTGGGAAGCACTGGTGTAGAAGGTACAAATCTATGCCAGCCTAATTCATATGGGAATGCAAACTATTATTGTAGAAAAGTGGTTTCCAACCTTAGGTCCCCATATGTTCTTGGACTAAAACTCCCAGAAGCCTTCACCACTAGCTGGGCTAGCCAGGATTTCTGGGCGTTGTAGTCCAAGAGCATCTGGGGGACCCAAGGTTGGGAACCACTGGTGTAGAAGGTACACCTGATGTGGTATTCACTCATTGGTCAAGCAGCAGGAGGTTATCAACATTTATGGTACTAATGCTTGACATTGTAAGGCTGATGCCATTGATAAAGACATTAGAACAATCATTCCATAATCTTTAACATAGGGGAGAAGACAGCAGACGTGAAAGGGTGTACTACATCTAGCTCTTTGTCACCATGAGTAGAATATGCATCTCCATACACTTCCAAAACATATTTCCATGGATAGGAAGGAAGCCTTCCAGGCATGTGTGCTTATATATTTAAATTGCCTGGACTCTGCTCCAATCGGCTCCACATTTCCCCAAGAATTGATATAACAAAAGGAAAGGCAGGTATGCAGATCATCCGATCAACAACCTTCCCTACTACATGATCCAGATCAACATGCTAACAATCATGGGAAGAGAGACCTTACAGTTATCACATGAATGTCAAATATCCATATGGACCTTAGGTGTACATGGAAGTTGTAATGTGTGAGTTTTACATACAGGAAAGTCTGTGTGTTCACAGCTTTTCATTTCATATTACTGTATGGTTTGTTTCCTGTACAGAATGCGGTTATTTGTTTAGAACTATGGGCAACCCATCATGAAGTCTTGGGATTTTGTTTTCTTCCTACGGATCAGCACAGCCTCTTTTCTTGGAGGGTGATATTTTTTATTTCTTTAAGGTCATCATCATCATCATAGGCATCCTTCAGTCTCGAGAGACTATGGTAGCGTGCTCTGTATGGAGGACTTGGAACAGCATCTAGTGTTTTGACGCTGTACGTGAAGCTGGTGTGTCCTCTCCAGAGCATGAAGCCTGGGTAAAATAATATGGAGGATAGGCTGTTACCCAAACAGCAAATCCCCCCTCTCCATGTCACTGAAATAGTGCAATGGAAAGACAAGAGACAATACAACTGGTTTCAGCGACGTTACAGGAGTTGACAGAATTACACGAGCTGCCTACGGGACTCTGGCTCCGGATTTTGCCTCAAGGTTAATTCCTGAAGCCTTTTCCATCAGTGAATATAGCCACAAGGCAGTGGAAGTTTGAAATCAGAGTTTTCCTTCTCTTAGATGGGCTGCCTTCCGGGGCTGAACAAGTCCCACCTACCCGGCCTGTTCCCTCAGGGCATGGAGGACGATGGCGGCGCCTCATGAGTAAAGCAAACATACAGGTGTAGTAAATTGAATGCACAGTTATAAACTGTAATCTTGTTAGAGCTTGGAATATTACCTTTAAAAAGAATAGCATGCTGAAAACATTGAAAATGCAACAGAGGTAGGATGATGCTCTGTGATGCTATTCTTTCTGCTTGGAAGTTACTTTCCAAACTGCAAATTTAAGATACTGTTTAAGATACTGTTCCAGTCTACCATTAATAGCACCTTTTCTCCTTTCATTACATTAAAGGGGAAGCAGACCGTCTTAAAAGGTATTCAGTCACTCAGTCTAAGGTAAACATACCTGTGTGAAGCAATGCATCTCTGTATCAGATATCCAAGGCTTTGTTAAGAATCGGAAGACTTGATGTATCCATTCTGGCACGGTTAACTTCTGCAATGTCGAAGGCTCAAAGACTGATTTCATGCCAGATGCAGGAGGAATGAGGTTGAAGTCCCTGCATCAAGTGCAGACAAAATAAAGCAGCTATCTCTGCAGTACTGATGAAATAACAAAAGAATTAGGTTCTCTGTAATGTATTAAACACATGCCCTGATATATTTTTGAGCAGATCTTTTCATTGGGAGCAAACTCTGTACAGTAATTGTGACTATTTATTTATGCTACTCCAGAACCTAAGCATTTTAACTAACTGTTCAAATGGACAGTATCATGTCACTTGTGGATTTTAATTCCTGTTTGATCTCTCCTTCACAGTAATGGATACTTTGTGAGGTGATTAGCGGAGAAAGTGTTCTCAGAGCATGAGGTAAATAAACATTATTCCATTCTGTTGCAAGTTCAGAACTGTTTGTCTTTCCTAATAATCACCTCTTCCTCCTTCTTCATTGCAACCCCAATTAATCAAGTTTATTAAGTCTTAATGACTGTTCTTTACTACCATGAACATTTTTAAAAATGCAAAGTTTCCTCAGTTCTCTGTTCTCCAAACATGTATTTGATTGCAATAGGTTTTGCCAGTCCTTCTAGGAGTGAGATAAAAACTTGAAGAAACTGATGCTTGGGGACAATAGCACTGACCTACCAAATATTGCTTCTGACACACACACCCAATTCCTTTTTGTTGGAAAATAGACCTATCTGTGTCACATGACCTGTTCCCCTAAACTAGCTGATTGTCCATCAGTTCAATGGAGGATCCTCTCCCACTGAAGGATGTCATCCCAAATTGGCACTGCCCATGGACTTCACTTTTGTATGTGGGAAAGGGCTAGAGAGCCACCATCTTTCTCCTTTCTCTCAGGCAGCAAAATGTCTCCTGCCTGGTCTAATGTGCCCTTCTTCACTGATACAACCAGGTTATTAGCAATGGGATCTATAATCCAGGAGCTTCTTGGTTTAATTTTCACCTCTGCTATAATGTCAGAAGGTAACTTTTGGCAAGGTGATAGCTCTGAGCCCTGACCTTCTCTCTACAATGTGAAGAATCATATTGACTTTTCCACAACTGTTTTAAGGACTGGGATAATGCAAAGCACTTTAATCACCTAAGGCAGTGGTCTCCAACCTTGGGCCTCCCGATGTTCCTGGACTTCAACTCCCAGAAATCCTGGTCAGCAGAGGTGGTGGCAAAGGCTTCTGGGAGTTGTAGTCCAAGAACATCGGGACGCCCAAGGTTGGGGACCACTGACCTAAAGCATTCTCTATTATATGGCAGTGTTAGCTGCTTGTTTCCATGAATGGTGGAAAGAGAACTATCTTTTGATAAAGGTTTTGTTATAGCTACTGACCTTCTCTCTACAATGTGAAGAATCATATTGACTTTTCCACAACTGTTTTAAGGACTGGGATAATGCAAAGCACTTTAATCACCTAAGGCAGTGGTCTCCAACCTTGGGCCTCCCGATGTTCCTGGACTTCAACTCCCAGAAATCCTGGTCAGCAGAGGTGGTGGCAAAGGCTTCTGGGAGTTGTAGTCCAAGAACATCGGGAGGCCCAAGGTTGGGGACCACTGACTAAGGCATACTCTATTATATGACAGTGTTAGCTGCTTGTTTCCATGAATGGTGGAAACAGAACTATCTTTTTGATAAAGGTTTTGTTATAGTTATAGCTGTACATCTCAGTGTACAACAAAAATGTATTTGTTTCCTTTTGGGAAAATTCATGAACAGATGTATGCAGGCACACACAGCTCAGTAGCACATTGGTACAGTCACATAGTAAATCAGAAAACAGAGAACAACAGCATGAATTCAGTGCCACCCACCCAGCACATGACAGTGTTAGCTGCTTGTTTCCATGAATGGTGGAAAGAGAACTATCTTTTGATAAAGGTTTTGTTATAGCTACAGCTGTACATCTCCGTGTACAAAAAAAAATGTATTTGTTTCCTTTTGGGAAAACTTCTAAACAGATGTATGCAGGAACACACAGCTCAGTAGCACATTGGTACAGTCACATAGTAAATCAGAAAACAGAGAACAACAGCATGAATTCAGTGCCACCCACCCAGCACACGAGACGCTCTTAGCCTCAGCAGCACAATAGAGAAAAAAAGGCAAGGAAGTAGCCAGCCAGCCACAACCCTCCCAGCTCACATACTCCCACAGAAGCAAACAAAACACTCTCCCAAACCATACCAAAATATACTGTACAGTTTTAACAATAAGAATAAGTACACAGAAAATTATCTAAATATCTATCAAACTGGGAGGGAAAACATGCACAGATGGAAAAATAGCAAAATTGCCCCAAGAAACACCCCTCTCCCATAAACAAACAAACAAAAAAAATCAAGCAACCAAGGAAGCAAATACAGTAAAGGCAATCCCCCAAACAATGAAAGATTGACCTTCTGCTTACTGGAATATGGGGGCCACGAGAGGGATTTCTCTCCTTCCTACCACTCCATGTCTTCACTTCCCTTCTTTTTGCAAGCAGCAGCAGCAATAATAATCCAAGAAAGGAGGGTACCCCTCAGAGAAATTGAAGAGAGGACCAAAAAATACTCTCAAGGAAGAACACTGTCACAGGCAGCAGTTGTAAGAATAATCCAAAGAAGGGGGGGAAATCCTCCTAAAATGTGTGAGGTGGGGGCAAAAAAAGAAAAGCCTTCAAGATTCACAAGCTAGGAGGCTGGCAGGCCACACCATCAGTGAGGGAAGATACCAGGAGCTCAAGAGAACAAAATAATCACACACACGAAGAATAACTAAATCAAAGCCAAAGAGCATTCCTCATTGGGTTCCAAACAATCCAAGTCTTTTTTTTTTAACAAATTCCATTTTTGTCCTCCTTTGTGGATATTCTGAGTTGCTGCTGATAGCAGCCCTTGTGATGCTGTTGCATGAAAAATTTCCAGAATTATTTCACAGATGAGGGATGAACTAAAGATTAAATGAAAGACGGAAACACAAAGAGACCCCACAGAATGTTCATGTCCCCCCTCCCTTGTTAATCCAAATCATTCATATTTAAGGGTTATTTGGGGGAAATATATGAAAGAACTTGAAAATAAAGAAGAGCCCTTTCAGGTTTCGTCCACTTTTGTGTAAACACAAATGGCCCACTCTTAATGGCTATTATTGTTCACTGATGTTGCAGGTTTTTCTGTCAGTCTTTTACGAGCACTGCAAAATTTGTGGCATCTGAGTTGCAACAATTATAGCATAAGTAGTTAAGCAGCACCACTTGGTGATTCTCTGTAAGAGCCAGGAAATTTGTTTTCTGTTGCATTTGCTGTCATACTAGTTTTCAGATCTCTAAATCCCTGGAAACATGCCAGTTTGCTTGCATTAGTGAAGCAGTAAACCAGTAAGCATTGTGTGAGTCGAACACCAGGCCAATTCAGACTGGTATACTTTGGCCATCATCTTTTGGAAATAAGAAGCTTAAGCTCAAGTCAGATGCTGTATGCTGTACTGCCTAACCTCCCCAGATATTTGTTTAAATGAATCCTCTCAAAATTTAAGAAGGCAGAGTCCATGTGATAGCTACTCTGTGCTTTATTTGTTGTGTGAACAAGAAATGACATAACGGGGAAGTAAGAAAACCCCTCTCAGGTTACCCTACAAACTAACAGAGGCTTCTGAGAGGATTATAGGCCAAGAGCCTTCCTAAGTATTCTCATGGTGTTACAGCTAAATCAAAGGTAACCTGGCAAGGAACTGTCAACAGGTGAAGACAGGAATGGGTCAAAAAAGAGTTATGCATCAAGATTAAATGTAGAGTTACTCCAGCTGAAGGGATCAGGTTAAAACACAGTTACCTATCCCCCTTGGTTTATTTACCGTTTTTGGCGGAACAACTGACGAAATATTTAAAGGAAGAAGGATGTGAGACACTTTGGCCCTGAGCCATTGAGCTTCCCTCTTGCTGACAGACTGATATGTTTGAAGCGGCACCCGGAAAAAGCTGAGGAAAAGATAAGGAACTCTGGGTGCCTCTTATGAGTGAAAACCTGGCACTTAAACCCAAAAAACACCACCTCAAAAGAGAAATCAGTCCTTACCTGCCTAGATGAAAGAACATTACTCACAAAGCAACCAATTTAAAGGAGAAACCAGTTTTGTGGGACACTATAAGTCATGGCGTTTCCCCCTCACATGATTACTATCACTTTTAAATCAAAATTCAGCAATGTTCAGTTTCACCAATCTGATGTGTATCCGATGCTAAGGTACTTGAACTGGAATACCTCATGGATAGCAAGCAAGGTCCCCTCTAAGGTGCACTGCTACATGGGCAGCTGGGGGATCACTCCCCCACTTCTTTTATATTAAAAAATTGCTCCACCAGGAACAGCACTTTTTAAAATCTTGGGGTGAATGGGAAACTCCATGGGACCCTGTGTCCACAAAGCCACATGCTCCCTCACACTAGAATGATAACTGAAACAGGAAAAAAAATCTAGTTCTCAGAGGTCAATAATTTTTCCTTGAGTGCTGGCTTGTTACATCTGGTGGAAAGCGGGATCATTAAACAGCTGCAAGAAGGCCTTTTCCCTCAGGGACATCAGCTGTTGTGGTACGTGTAGACTTCCAGATATTAACATTTTACGTAACATTGCCCCTATAGAGGTCTTACTAAGAATATAGTATTGGATACATGCTGGCACCCTTGCCTATGTCATAACACAGATAATGTCACAGGTCATGCCATGAAGTGGATACCCTTGTTCTGGAACTATTTTCTTCATCTCATTGAAACATCAATGATCACTTTCTCACAGAGAGCAAAAAAAAAACTTGCTGAAAGAGCTAGAGTTACAGCTCACTCTGCTTTCCTTGCTAATAGGAACTCTGTACATCACCTAGCACTATGTTACTTTGGTCTCATTTGAAATTTTGAACCTCACAAATGTGGATCTGGGGAGACATGTGGGGATTTAAAACAAAGGAGAGTCCCTTAGGTTTGCCCATGACATAGAACCTGTCCT